AGAGGGTAAATTCAGATTAGACATCAGGAGGCGCTACTTCACGGTCAGGGTGGCTAGGATCTGGAACCAACCTCCAAGCAAAGTGGTGCTGGCTTCTACCCTGGGGGTCTTTAAGAGGAGGCTGGATGAACACCTTGCTGGGGTCGTTTGACCCCAGTACTCTTTCCTGCCATAGCAGGGGGTTGGACTTGGTGATTTGCTCAGGTCCCTTCCGACCCTACTAACTATGAAACTATGAATTTCTGTGGTCAGATGGTGGTCAGCCTACCATGAGCTGTGGAGTGTGGTTCACTTTATTTCTGCTGACTGGTCTTTAAACTTAAACTTTTAACCATATTAGGAATTGTTCTGCCGCATTAATTCGACTGAGCTGATTTTTTTTCTGTTCAGCTTTTAATTCTTGTTCTCAGATATTTACCCTGTTGCAGTCCACCCTAGCATTGTCATTGGTTTCCATTAACTTAGCTTATCCACACTGCTGTTTCTTCACCCAACCCACAGATTACAATTTCAGCCCTCCTAGCTAATCTCTCAGAACAGGAACAAAGTCTGTGATGTCTCAACTGGTTGCCATGGAGAGAGCTGTAATGGTATTAGGAAAAGCAGCAAAATAATAAAAAGCTCTAAAAACCTGTTTAAACAATCATAAATTGTTCCTTCTTCTCAACAGCCAATTAGCTCCCAAACTCCTTTCACACTCGCACATTTTTCAAACAAGAGCGTTGCCTTGGGCACCTCCAAGAATATCAGGAAATTCCTGAGAAGTAAGATTTCCTTCATGTGGAAGGCCTTGTTACACCAGGGGTTATGCATAAGCAGTGCTAGTTCAAATCTGGCTAAGATTTGTTAGTGATTAGAAGCCACTAATATCTGGCAACTGATTGTGAAATGAGTTAGTGGTCTGAATCCAATTTCCAGTGAACAAATATTCACATCACTCACACAGCTGGCACGAAGCAGGAGAGAAACCAAGGATGCAGAGCTAATTATTAGTATAGGATGCCTCCCTTCCATCCTAGGATTATGAGGGATAGTGGACACAGGAGATAGTGGGGCTGACTCCCCCAGTCACAGCAGCAGAGAAATTCCACTTCCCAGGAGTAATTCCCCATTGCCCAGCTCCAACCATTTTGTGCCACTTCATTGATGCAAAGCAGCCATGGCAGACTGCAAACCCTGGCCCTTTCTATACTAGTCAATTGATTTTGCTGACCCCTGAAGTACTCATGTAAGAGAGTTTCTCTCTAGCGTTACGAGGCCATCCCTTAAGGCAGAAGATTCTGTTCACTGTATAGCATGGAACCAAGGCTTTCAAGATATCTTTGCTTTAGGCTACTTGTGACTGTTTCCACTGATCACCTCTTCATCTTAAATTTGGGGAAGTAATAACTCTTTACATTCTGTCCAAGAATCTCAAAGGAACTTGCCTGCGCTGATGCTTATTCTCTTCCTGTGCCATCACTACCATTATACCTGTTCCATTAGTAGAGAAGCTGAGGCATGAACATGTCTTGCCTAAGGCCACAGAATAGGCCAGTTAGAATCCAGGTTTCCTGGTACCTGGGCATATGATCAGCTCTTGTATTATGCACGGGCCTGATACATGGGCTGTTTGTGTATAAATTGTTCATGTATCACAGGGCAAGGAAGGCAGGTGAAGAAAAGCCAAATAGAGAAAGAGTACACAGAATCCATCTCAGGCAAGTAATCAGCTCTAATTTTAATATTCCACAGACATACATGGCTCCAGCTCCATGTGATCTGGAAGGGAAAAGGAATATAGTCACAGTTAAACAGTCGTGGCCCATCCTGCAACAGCCAGATCCCGGGTGCAGTGCTGCTGAAACACCAGTCACTTGGTCTGAGTGAGATTTGTTAGGCTGCCTGTGTGTTCAGGTTGATAGTTTAAGTCAGACACACAGTCAGGGACTCTGACCTACATCAGCAGAGCTGCCTGGGGGGCCTGAGTTACCACACAGAGTCCCTGCAGGCAAACAGGGACACACAAATACTGCTTTTCTTCTGAGGTGCTCAAAGCTCTGGGGTCACCTTATCAAGCTTTACAGCTGGCAAAAGTGGGGGAATGGCGCAGTGCCTTCTCTGTAAACTAGCTCATCACAAGCATGTCTTACCCAATGAAGCATGTACTTCATTTGGCTCCCAGGCAGCCTTTGATGCCAGTTTAAGATCTCATCACAAGTTTTAAAGGATCGAGCCATGGTTAATTAAAGGTCAGATTTTGCTCTGAGAGCCAACACAACAGCTGTGCTTCTTTGCAGATCAAAAAGTGCCTAAGGAAGTTTGTGAGAAGTGGAGGCAAAGACCCAGCTAGGGAACAAACTTCCAGAGATTAGACCTGACCATCTTTAGGAAATGCTGCTAAACCTTTCTGCTACCTTTAGAATAATACAGTGCTGCCCCCGCCCTTCACCCCCCAGTCAAACATTCAATTTAAAACCCATTAAAAAAGTAAATGAAAACAGTTCAATAAAAGGAACCCCCAAAAGCCTGCTGTAAGTGGAGTGCTCATTCTCAAAAAGGCAGAAGTGTTAGAAAGTCCATGAAGCCAGCTACAAATTTTGCCTGACTTATATGTGCAAGTATATTTAAATACTAGTGTGAGCAGCCATTAAACCCCTAAAGTAAGTCAGTAATTAATGAGACGGAGACAGGGCATGATTTGCCCAGTAACATCAAGAACGAATATCAAAACTGGGAATACTGACTGCTATATCTTTTAAGCAGCAGTGATCACCATAAAATGTCTGTCCTCTTTACGTTCCAGACCAACTATAGCATTGTACTGGAGGCTGGTGCTGGTACCAAGCTTGTTCATAGGGACAAGATGTGTTTTCCAATCAAATTAAATAAATACAGTCCAGTTCTGAAGTCTGCATATGTGCAAGGGTGTAGGGGCAAAGGTGTAATTGAGATCAGATGCCTTAGTAGCTGGCCAAGTTCTTGGGATATGGTTTGGGGATTAAACAAAACAGTTGCAAAGATGAGGCAGAGGCAAATCTGAGGTTGCAGTGAGGTGGGAGGCATTCTGGAAGGCATGGGGACAGAGCAGCTTGTCAGGGGACAAATCCGGCTTTGAGACTGGGATGCTATTTTCAGTGGCCTGTTGTTGGGGGATGAGGGGTAAATGGAAGAAAGAAAGCAGGAGATGCTAAGTTTGTGTGTCTGTACATTTCTGTGTTGGTTCCTCAGTCCTGCCTGTCTGTCTGCTCATGGGTTCTCTGGGTCCTGCAGCGGCAACAACCCTCCTGGCTCTCTGGTAAGTACAAGAGAAAAGCAGAGATGCTGTTACTGTCTTGCATGACTGCCCCCAAGATGGAGGTTATCCCCCCCTACAACAGAGGATCCAAACAGCAACACAGTTCAGGGACATTAAGGACAAGTTTTCAGTCCATTCTTTTTAGCAAACCAGACCCTTAGACCCAACCCCCTCCTTGAATATTTAAGTAAGTTCTGATCTGGTCTGGATTCAAACTTTATGGCCTAGACCCACCTTTTATAACAACAGAGCAGACTAGGTAGGCCAGTACTGTGTGCCTGCCATGTGCCTATACCCTGGGGCTGAACCATGGGAACAGAACCCCTTCCATGGATAGATGGTTTCTAAGGTTTTGCTCAATAAAGCCCTGGCTGGAATTGATCGAGTTGGGGACAGTCTCACTTTGACCAGGGGGTTGGACTAGAGGTGACCTCCTAAGGTCCTTTCCTCATGTTCTATGATTCGATACAGGCCTATGTGCTCCCTGCTGTACAGCTCTGAGGGTGTTGGATGGAGTTATACTGTGGTCTGTTTCTAGAACCTGCTACAATATTTCATGCCTAGAATGTCCCCATTCCTTCCTCTAAAGACTGTCACTGTAGTATTTACTGTGGTGTGCTTGTTGTTCAGCTGCTACCAGGGGCCAGTGTCTCTCAAGGCCTACTGTGCAACGCATTTAGATAGAAGGCTTGAATCTGTGCTTACAATGCAACTAATATACTACCAGGAGCTCAAACAGTTTGGGTGGACCATTTAAATTACCTAATGCATAGAAGCAATACTGAATTGTCACCTATTGATGCAGGCAAACGGGGCCTTCTCACTAGTATAAAAATGGAGCAGACATGAAACATATAAGCAGAAACTGGTGTGGACTTACCCCAGGAAGAAAAGCAGTAAAAAATACTGACTGTGCACAGTGATACTGGGGTGTAAAGGTTTGTTCTACAAAAACAGGCTAATACCAGTTCTCCCACTGTCTTGGAGTGAGGCTTTTGTCATTGTGCCAGCTGTGCAGAGTAACTGGTCATCTCTCTGCTGCAGATGCTGGTGTGCTTTTATATTAATTTGCAAAACTGGTGTCGGTTACACCAGGGTAATTGTTTGTGTGCCCAGGCTCCAGAGGACTTAAAATATTTTATTAAGGATCAGCTACTGTGAGCTGGGCAGGGACATGGCCTTAAAATGGTAAGAGATTCTTTGGGCTGATCTCTCCCAAGCTAGCCTCCTCCCCATTAATGCTGTATCCCGAATACAATTCTCATGTTGCACAAGTGAAGCAGAATGGTGCCTACCCTCTTTTTTGAGGGAGAGGTGGCTGCTCTGAGGAACAGCAGCCTTGGTACCCAGGCAATAGTACAGTTTCTAGGGTTGACACAGGCTGTGCTGCCCTAACTCTGCAGCTACATGGGTGTGTATCCCAGCTTCAAAGAGCAATGTACTATTCCACATGGAAAAAACATGTACTTAGTACACATTCAAATTAGATAAATCTAACAATTGTATATCTTCAGGCCAGCCCTGCTGCTTTGATATGGAAATGTTACATCTACTGAACATAGTCAAAATATGTCACGTTTCTTCTGTTATATGGTCAATATGGAAAGGATGTCCAAAAATGACTTATGATTTTATATGCCCTTTTGCATGCTCGTTTTCAAAGGATAGTTGGATCAGTGTTTTCTGAAAAACAGCACTTTTAAGACATCACAAACTAGATTCCCAAAATCTTTTGTGTGCAATGCCTCTTTCAGTGGGGCCTCAAATCTGACTGGGGAGGTTGGTTGCTACTGAAAGACAGGTGGTAAATAAGACTAATGAACTGGTATGCAGTGAAAGACATGCAAACTGTCTCAAAATCCATAATAAATGCAAGGTTGAGACTCAACTAATCATGACTCCACAGGCTTCCCCCTTCCATGGCCCTTTGATATAAGCCTTTCTGCTGCAATTTCTCCTCCACAAAGGAATGTCACATAAATGGTCATCAAAAAAAAAAAAAGATGGCCCTAAGCTGATTGAGTTAGTCAGACTCATGTCCCATTTCTATGCATTGTGTTGAGCTACAAGCAAATATCATGCAAACTTGTATTAAACATATGTGGGGAAAGTGACAAGGGTAATGTTTTTAATTAGTTTTTGCATCTGGGCTAAAAGGTATTTATAATGAATCTTGCAAAATATTTTTGTATCTTGAAAATAATGTCTCTGTTGTCAGGGAAACCAGAGATATTACTGCTTAAAGTGAACTAAAAAGGAAAAAAGATGTTTGTGTTTTAATACAATGTTAACATAGCATTCCCAGCACATTTCTGTAACCTATCTATGCTGTATTTATGTTTCATTATATTTGTCTTCAATAGATCATGCATTTTTCATTGTTGTAAACTGATGCTGATGACCCTCGCTGCTTGATAGATGAGGAAAGTGAGGAGCTGAGCTTGAGCCTGCTTGCACTTAAATACAAGGACTATATTATGGGTGCAAGGGGAGGTTTCCCACTGTAGTGTGGGTGGGTGGAGCCCCTGATGCATGTGAACAAGCTCTACCCTGGTGGATCATGCTGGGCTGGATGACCACCTGCCTAGCAAAGTGAAATGCAACCAAGAGCCAGGTACCCAGAAAGGTGACTGACAGCTACGTGATGCTCTGTATACCATTGCACTGACTTACCTCTAGAGCTTGTCAACTCCACTTCAGAGTATGGGGGTGGTAAATCCGGTGGCCCAGGGTATGGAGGTGGCCAGCGTGGAAGTGGATTGAATAAACCTGCCAAAGAGAACAAACCTTTTAGCCTCTTGGATGGAAACAACAACCACAGCTTAGCTGAAGCCTCCACCCAGCCCTCTTGTCTGGTGCTAACTTGGTGCCTGTCTTGTGTGAGCAACTGAACTGAACCTCCAGAATTAGACAGTAACTTCTCTCTCACAAATATTTTATATTACCGATTTCTGATGCACATGGAAGCTTCTTTTAGTAGCTCCCCTTTTGCCAGCATAGTCTGGTTAGCTCTGAAGAAACTTGAACCAACCTCACAGAAATGCTTATAGAATGCAAGTTCCTCTTACAAG